GAGAGAGAGAGAGAGAGAGAGAGAGAGAGAGAGAGAGAGAGAGGGCAAGGTTATTAGAGCTGAGGGAGTACTGAATTCAGACACATCCTCACAGATTAAGATAAGGTGGGAGACTCGTTTGGATCGACCACCGGAAGCAGCCAGCAGCGGCACCAACGGAAGTTGCACACACTTCCCAGCGGTACCTTCGTGAGGTTCCCATCAATTATTTCCGTCTCAGAATGCAGACGTCCGTGCCGCCGAACGTAACGCCACCGAGTGCTGCGGTAATGGATGATTATGAAATTTCCATGGCGCCGGAACGCGAGAAGAATGCTCGGATCGTTGGAGCTATCTTGAGATATTATGTTGATATTGCACCGCGAAAAAGACCACGTGCATTATCGAGGATGATATGAAACTTAGCGGGTCGCTCTGACCCTTATTACAATTATTTATACAAGAGCAGTTCCGAGCGGACGCGTCATAAACTGCAGCTGCTTTACAAGTTTATTTTCTCGTTGCACCTGCGAGATGGCAAGAGGCCCGTCTGCCGACGGCTCAATAGACTCTACCGAGTGAAGCGAGTTTGTTATGTATTAGCACACCGATCCTTGCTTTACGAGGCTGTTAACTTAAGATGCACAGGCGGCACCCTCGTTTCTGGTACCTGCAGTGCTTTATAAGTCTGATGACGATGCGGGAGCTTGTTGCATCTTACCTGTAGGTAGATAGACGTATACCTGTCTACTCAGATCACTCATCTTAGCGAAACTAGATTTTCCCAGCAGCCTCCGGAGGTATGGTATCAGCGTCTTTAAACTTTGTCTAAGTTCACGGCGTCCCTTCTACAGCCCCGAAGAGAACGTGCGACTCCCAACGGTTAATGTAAAACCAAATTTATAAGCGCGCTTCGAGCGCGAATCCGAGAAGAATGAAAATCATACGGAATACGGCCTGCATGAAAATAAAATTTTATTCTCACGGGTTTCACGCGAGTATGAATTTCTGGCAGGGCGACGTGACCGTAGTAGGGGCTGTGCGTAGCCCGGAGAGCGACAGAGAGAAATGGGAACCGAGTGTAAAGGGGAATTGTGACTCGTTATAAAAAGAAAGGCAGGAAAAATGAGAGGAAAAGGAGAAACAGGAGAAGGGCATAAGCGTTAATCCTCACGAGAGTACAAAATCCTCCCCGTTGTGAAAAGGCTGAGCTAAATAATCTACAGCCATCGCTGAGGACCAATGTGTCACGCGGAGGCATCATTTAACTTTCAGCCAATAGTACTGTCTTGAAATTATTTCGATACTGTAAAAAAATGACGATTACGAATTTTAATTATTACTCTATCAAAGACTAAAGGTATTAAGGCGTGTTCCCCCTGAGTACATATATCAAATCATATTAACCATTCGTTGTCGCACTGGTGGAAATTCGTACTAAGCCAAATTCGCATTAACGTGACGAGATCAGGTGGTGAAAATAAGTGCGACTAACAGAGGGTTAACGGGGTATCAGAGGAGAGTTTACCAGCAGTCCGTTGCCAATCCCCGTGCGGTTTCTCATTACGTCTGTAACTTTTAATGGAAACGTAATAATTCAGCGCATTCATTGATATGCACGCCTGCGTGGCTACATAGA